TATTTTAAACTCATAGTTCTATACTATCAATAATTCTTGACTATGAATTACATGCAATCTGTTGTTAATTAAATCTTCTTTGATTTCATATTTTCAGAATCTATTTCCAAAATTTTTAAAAAATTCATTTCTGGCATTACGTTGGCCATTTACTAATTAACATTTGCTTTTGTATATTTATTATTGCAAATGTCTATGTATAATATAGAGTTGCATTACATTTACTCAAAAAAATCTCAGAACAAGCATAATGTATATTTGTTTCAAAACTAGAAAAATAATACATTATGCGACAAAGAATCTGCAAATTAATAAATTAAAATTATTAAAGTAATCCGACGTTGATAAATTGTTAGTAAATTAAATATCATATTATAAAATACAATCTGAAAATGTTATTTACAATAAATATTGAAAGCAAACGTTATCCTAAGAATACATATCTAAATTCATTTAATAACATAGAAACCAATTGCACGAATAATCTTGTCCTTCGCTGCATATTAATTTGTATAATTTTTTTCAATATTCTTGAACTGTACATTCCCCGAAGATCACGGCACATAAGAAGCCCAAACAATTAATAGAAGAGATGCAAGAGACGAAAGAATACGTGGCAATTGACACAGAACGGAAAATGTTCGGGACGAAAATTTTGGACGTACAACGAGGTAGCGACGATCCACCAGGTGGTTGTTCCGTTGGAAGAGAACTGGCCCATTACGAGAAACTTGTCCTGGAGACGACCAATGAGACCGAAATTACTCCACCGTGCTGTAAGCAGGGGAAGAACGACGATAGTAAATTGCACGCCAATTCCAAATATGATTACCGCGACAAGAAACACTCGGATGAAACAAGCAAAACGTTCCAAACACGCTCCTCTTACATGAACCCTCGTGCACGTACGAAACTAATGTTATTAGTGAAATTTTGCAACCCATAGACCGCGGATGTTTGTATCTTCGTATTTTTCGTATTTTCGTGAATACAATCAAAGCAAGAAATTTGTTTTCAGTAAAAGATACAAATTGCCAGATTGCGGATTGTCTATAAAAATTTGTATTTTTGTTAACTAACAGTCGAACATAGTAACTAAATATTGTAACGAGTGTTTGTTAGATATTTTTGTCTATATTCTATTGTGCCATTTTATGCACTTTCTTTGCATTATAATAAGCACAGTAATAAAAAAAATTAATGAACTACAGATTTTTGGATTTTAAAGAGCAAAATTGCAAACGTACATGGTAGAACATTCTCTATCTGAACTTTCATTCTGTGAATATTTCAATATCCAATTATTAATGTAATAAAACATCTGCTATTAATTGATGATTGTTCAGTTACTAGCAGACAATGTTGTTGCGTGATGCAATATTAAAATAAAGTTCAAGTAAAAAAGATTCTACTTTAATATGAAAATATTCAAACTACATAAATTCTTTATAACTATGTTAATGTACAGAATAATTTTTCTACCGAAGTTTTTATATTGTCAAAAATATCAATTTGCACGGATATCCGCAATCTGCAAGTGCAATTTTACAAATCGTTCAATTATCCTGTATTTAATGTAAAATCTGTAACTTACTCGTTAGTAAATTGCAAGAGAGAATTTTTTTTGTAGAAAACAGATAATTCCTAATGATCTGTTCTAATTTTAGATGAAGATAAATTGTTTAGGAATTCGTCAGTTTCTTGCAACATTTCGGACTCCGCGAATAACAGGAACAAGAAGGGAAAGAGTGTCGTGAAGAACACAAACGATAAACCTGCCTCTACAGATATTCTGGACAATTATCGTAGAAAAAACGAACCACACCCTTTAACCAGTCAATTGAGTAGCATCAGAGAAGACATGAAAGAATTTTGCGCTGACGTGAATAAATTCATGGAAGACAACAAGATGGTTCTGAAGAATGGAGACCTGAAAGAGAAGACCAACGTTGAAATCAAATCTGACGACGAGGGAGGACACAAAGAGTCGTCGGAAATCAAAGAGAAAGGCTTCAAATGGTGGGACACGAAAGAAAGAAAATTAAAGGTGAAAGAAATACTGAGGAAGAGAGAAGAGGAGAGTCAAAAATCAAAGGATACTAAAAACATCGAGATGATTGAGAAAGCTTCAAATAAGGAAGATTCTAAAGAAAGGAAGGAAACTTCCTCTTCACAAGGTGTTTACGATTTATTGAACCTCAAAACCTGTCCTACGATTTTATTGAGCGATATAAAACCTTACCCTGAAAATGAAGACGCTCCGCTTTTACGTGAATCCGCCAAGAAAGAAGTCAACGACGAAGATCGTTCCTCGGGTTTGTTCAATTCTTTGTTCAACGAGATGAACCGTAGAAACGATACTGGTGAGCAATTTGAGAAAACTTTAAAGTCGATTAGCACTAAATTGTTAGATTTAGAAGAAAAAGAGGAAACTGTTGAAGAGCCAGCAGGTTGCTCGAGTGATGCTCATGCGATTCCCTCAGATCGAGAGACCGTTAAGAACAAGCCTGTTCGTATAAAGGTGTTGGAAGCAAATCCTGTTAGTGTCACGTCGTTCGATGACGATGACGAGGTATCGGAGAGCGAGTCTGTGAAGACGGTAATTAATAAATATGAAATTAACGAGCAAGGAAACATGGATACAAATATTAGGAAAGAGGAGAGTTCAACAGTCAGCGAAGCGCAAAATGAGACCAAACAGTTGGACACTAAGCCTGACGACTCTGCAATATCTTCTTGTCTTGAAAGGTCGTGTCAATCTTCCAAGTCGCATAAAAGGTCACTAGATTGCGAATATTTGAACGTGGCCAGTAAAAAGTCTCATTTAATCAAGGAAGCAGATGCGGAAGGAGATTCGAGCGATCGAAAAATAACCAGCGCACTGTCCGAGAAGTGCAGACGGCATTTTATGAGAGAAGCGAAGAAATTTACGAAGAAAGAATCACCCTTGATCGATAGGTGTATAGAGAGTTTGATAACAAATAGAAACTCGGAGGGAAATTGGAAGGTAAAGTGCAATCAAGAAGATTTCTCAAGTTTCACAGCTACGAACTCAAACTCTGATTTCCTTTCTGGGAAAACTACGGATAATCCAAGTGAACAATCTCACGTAAGATCGAAGAAGATTTCTGAAAATCAAAAAATCATGAAAGAATCGGAATTGTTTAGTCGTCAGCAGTCAGGCAAGTGACGTTTATAGTAACCGTTTAAGAGATTAGAGAGGTTATCTTGAACGTATGAAATTAGTACTTTTTTGTATTTTGTTTCTTATAAAAAAATAAAAATAACTAACAGGAGTTGCTTAGAATGAATTTTGACAAAAAAAAGAAATGTAATATTACATATATTTACAATATATATATACAATAATTTTTTAAGTTTTTGTATCGAGGATCTTCCCTTATCAGTGTCCTTGGAATATAGAAAATTTTTAAATGCTTTACTTTGTATTTTAATAAAATTAGAAGTTAAACTCAAAGACGAAATATTGAGACATTTCAAAATTTCCAATACGTTTCAAAAACAATTTCGTTTCAGGAGTGGAATCAATTTCCCAGTTATTGAAACAATCTAACAGCATCGAAAAACATTCGTCAAACATATGCACAGATCTCTACCAAGAATTTTGCAAACACGTGGATCAAATGAATAGTAAAAAGAAGCTTCTAATCGAGCCGGATTTCATGAAAAATGGCGAACCGAACGAGGAAAAGAAAGATGACGTTCTATCGTCAAGGGAGATCGGAGAACAGTTGAAAGAAGAACAAATAAAACCATTGATCGAAGAGATTCCCGGAAATTCGATAAGCACAGACGAATTTGAGAAACACGAAGAACTATCTGTTCATCTGCAAGATCTTGGAATGGACGCAGCGTTAAAAGATAAAATATTAAAAAGTATAAACGCTCCGAAAACCGAGGAGCAAAGAGAGAGAGCAAAAAGGGCAGCTGAGAAGCTAAAGAAAATCTCCAGAGAAGCGATGGCAAAGGGAAAACCTTTATTGGAACAATCATCCTCTGTTAACAATCAGAAACAAGTTAGTAATTGAAATCACAGTGAAGAGCATAACTGAACCAATAAACACACTCTATTAAAATACAATATTATATATATATATTATTTAAAAATTAAAATATAATATCAATTAATAATAATTATTGAATTAAGATATACAGAAAATGAACATAATAGAAACATTTTGGATGTAGTTGAATATATTCTTTAATCCTGCAAATGTTCTTTTTTAGTTGTTGCAACAAGAAATACATATCCATTCAGTTTTGTATAATTTTTTTTCGTAATCAAATTTTTTTAATTTTAATAGCTTGCTAATATTTATTCTACGATTTGCTTTTAAAATGGATTTATTGTATAAGAATTCAACAATCAGAATGAATTTCAATTCACTGTTCTTCGACATTCGTAAATCAATATCGATACTCTTATACTTTTCATTCTTGCAAATTCTGAATGGAATTAAGGTCGAGATTCTGTATGAGTGACATTAGCTAATTTTTATTAATTGTTTTATAAAACGTCTTTACATATTATTATATCATCTATTTGAATATCGATAGAACAATTTCATTTCTACAACACGGAGAACAACGAATCATCGAATATTTCTTTGTTGTAGGCAAATAAAAAAACACTTGCAACTTTGAAAAATTCTTTAGATTAACATTAGTTAATTAATGCATGATTTCTATAGTATGTACTTTAATGCTAACAGCAATGAAAAACGATTTACGTGAAATCTATAGATATTAGATCAGTTATGCTGTTCACTGTAGTTTCAATTTCACGTTCTCTTTTTTTTCAAAAAAATTTTCATTTTTATATTAACAAAATAATACCGTTTTTAGTATCCTGAAAACAGTAGGCAATTTTTCATGGACCTGTTAAAAGAGTTTTTCGACAACGATGATAAAGACGTTAATCCCACGAAGAGTGTAGATGAAAGAACCGAATCAAACTCGATTATTGAAACAATCACAGACATTTCAAAGAACACTATGGTAAAAGAAGATATAAAATTATCGTCGGTCAATAATGACACAAGTCGGTGTGACGAAATTCTTGGCACAGAAAAAGAAAATGTCCATAGAACGAGGAAAAGTTTGGAAATGCAGGTCGTTCAAGAAAACTGAAACAGGAAGTTATGAGAAAATGTTAGTATTTAGTAGAAAGAAAATTTAAAAAAAAAAAATAATTTTCACATACGATGGAAGACGAAAAAGATTGTAGATTCTGAGTTGTACCACTGTATTTCCTTCTTTTGTATTCAAATAAACGAATTACGTTTCAATTACTCATGCACCGAGAACATTGAATCGCAAAGAGATAGAAAGAAAAATATCACTAGTAGGACATTTAAAATTTATCCTAGAAATGTTATCCTACTTCGTGAGGTACGAAACTTTCGAAACCCAAATGAATAAAAAATTCATATAAATAAATAACGTACAAGAATATCGTGTGACGATAAGAATTTATTTCTATTTCGTTGACAATGATCCAATTAAGCTTGTTTGTATTTAAGATTCGTTTTGTTCCATCACAATAATCTTGTACATTTAAAAAAAGAAAGAAAAAAAATGATTGAAAATTTGATTTTCTGAAAAAAATTTGTTAAAATCTTAACTTCTTAATAACTAAAAGTAGATAAACTTCTTAGAAGAAAAAAGATGAAACTCCTGGATCTCGAAATTTTTGACAGCTCATAAGATTTCGATCCAACTCTAAAAAAAATACTGCAAACGTTTCGGCGAGAATAATAACCTAAACGATGGATAGCAAAGTTAAACGAAACTTCTACTACGTACACTTTATTTTTCTTTTTTTTTTTTTTGTCCACACTCACATCAATTATATAATAATAATAACGATGATGGCGGTGATCTGGTGAATCATAATTAATAGTAAGAATAATTAATCTGTAATTATGTATAATGAAAATCGGCTGCTTGCAAACGAAACAATAGTCACCGACGTTCTTATGTTCTCGTCGTTTCTCGAAGACACGAGAATCCCAAACGAATATCCTTGTGTCCTCGCAAAGCTTAGCAAAAAGCTCATGATATTTTCTTTATATGTTTATATAGGATGATATCGGAATGAAATTACTTTTCCTTCCGTCGTAAAATTGCGTCGAACCTTGTTTCTCTTGTTTCATTTTTCTCCCATCTTTCTTTTTTTCTGTTTTTTTTTTTTTTTTTAATTTCTTGTTCTTCTCAAACATATTTATCCGCTTTACGTTTGTTGGCATTTTGTATCTCGTTTATATCTGTTCGACCATTTCCCTTTCCGTTCGTTTCGTAATATATATGCTATACGACGTACTTCTTTCTTTCGTTTTCCTTTTTTATTTCGCGTGCTCTTAAGAACTACCTTACTGCTCTCTGGCTCACCGCAGGAAGTAAAGAAACGTACAGATACATTATGCTCCACTGTTTCTATAATTATTACAATAATAGATTTATAAATGTCCATTTTCCCCATTCACTCTGCCACTCTCGTATCGTTCATTTTCTCATGCGATCAGACGAAATTCAAACGTTCCTATACGTAATTCGTAGTATCTCTTCGCGTCGCATTTTTTGCTTTTAGTTTTTACTTTATTCTTTTTTTTTCCACTTTCACGCACGCACACATTCGGTTGCTCCCTAATTATAAATTATTTTTCTGAACTATACCGAGTGTCAAGGAAGTGGTCTTCGACAACCAGAAACCGAAAAACGAAGAAAAGAAAAAGAAGAAAAAAATTTATTCGAACATTGACGAATACTGAGATTAGAATTGAATTTTTTTTATTTTATTTTTCCCCCCTTTTTTTTCGGAGTCATCGAACGACTCTTCCTGGCCACGTCGTGTATACGTCTCTTTGGGTTTATTTTTCGCTTACTATCGTACTGTTATAGTGTAGGTTGCTGTTGCTTCTGCCGTAGTTTAATTCATTATTTTAATACAATGACAGCCCTTACACGTTTACGGCTTACGTTATAGAGAGAGAGTACCTTAACGCCTATGCTTTTTTTATTTTTACTTTTTTTTACTTTTTTTATTTTTTTTTTTTTTTTTTGTTTAATATTAAAGAGTTTTTTCTTCGGGTTATTATTGAGAAAAGTTTTCGAGAAGCTCGCCGCTCTGAACTTCCTTTTTTTCTTCTCTTGAGAATTTTTCTGTATTCTTTCACGCGATTCAGAAGCTTGATAACGGCGACTTCGTGGGAAAAAACGGGCGATCCATTTTCTTTTTTTGCTTTTTCCTTTTTCTATATCGGATGCATATAAAATCGAACAGCGATAAAAAAAAAAGGACCCAAATGACGATAGACTCGTATGGGTCCATCGAGAACGCGGAAGATCCGACGAATTTGCAATCACGTCGAAAAGAAACGAATTGAGGGGCTCGTAACAAAACTAATTCGAAGAATATCTAAGCATCTTTAAATTCTGCTCGATACAGCAGATTTCAATTTTCTTTAAGCAAATGCTCATCATGTTGTATGTATCGATAATTGCAAACGTACAATGAAAATCACAAGTTTTCTATAAATTTTTTTCTATACATTTTTACCGTTAATATTAACATACATAGAAAGTGAACAATAGAAACATTTTGAATAATTAAAGCGAACATAAATAATTTTTCAATACTGCCAATATCTTTTCAGTTGCTTGTAAAAAGTAATATTCGTTGATTCAATTTTGCACGATGTTTTCCCAATCAAATTTTTGAAGTTTAATATAACATTCACTCTATGATCTTCCGGCCTTTAAGATGACTTTATTGCATTTTCGCCTCCGTTGTACAAGATTTCATCAATAATCAGGATGAATTTAATTCCAGTTATCATTCGATTCACTTCAGAAATTCAGCATTGACGTCACATTTACAGATCTTACACTGTTCGTTTGAAGCATAGATTCTGAATGGAATTGAAATTGGAAAATTCTGTATGGAGCACACTAGTATAATAAATTCTTAAATTCTGAGCTAATTTTACACGTTTCTGTCGTGTGCTTAGAATTTTGAGATATAGTGTAATATCTTTAGAAGACGGCATGTTTCGAAATCTATCTAATTAATTACTTATTAAAATATTTTTACATCTACTTGATACAACAAGCCAACATCGATAAAACTATCTTTCTACAATATGTATGCAAACCGATTGAATCATTATATATTTATTGTTGTAGGCAAAAAAGAAACATTCGCACTTTGATGCGAATTATTCAGATTACCGTTAATTATACATAATGTTTCTATAGTATATATTTCTTGTATACTTTAATGTTAACGGCAGACAAAAAAGAAAAACAATTCGTTATTATTTCATTATTAAAACAATTCATTATTAACAATTAATTAATTATAACAAATTGTGAAATATTAATGAAAGTTGTCCTCGTACAGAATTAACCTTAATTAACTGTCCTTTGTTGTTTTAATTTTATTCAACGACTAATCGAGATATAGTTCACATTTCTCACAACATCAGTTCTATTCCATGTTGTGTATTTCCAGTCTGACTATTAAAGTCCATTATTATCTACAAAATTGCGAAACTTGACAAGTATAGCTTTCGTTACAAGCCCTCCAATTATGTCGCGATGAAGGAACAGCTGGCGAAAAGATTTCGAACACCTCTCGTTCGAACGTTTATCAGTCTTCTTTGTATTCTAGTCCGAGAAAAATAACGTCAGTATCGTTAATTCTTCTCTCTTGATCCCTAATTTCAGACGAGTCTTCTTCGCGTGTCGCTCTATAATGCAAATGCACAGCAAATGGAAATGATACAGCGAAACCCTTGAAATTCATTTTGATCGACACCATCGTCGATAGTGTTCGAGATGAGTTGTAAAATCTTGTTCTACATTTTTCTGATACCTTGACGTAATAAGGAACGAAGAGACATTTTGAAATCGTATCATAAAAAAAAAAAAAAAAAAA